TGGGTGAGTGCTTATCATAAGCGATCATTCAAGACATGAAAGTAACAGCCTTCAGCACCGTGATTTGGAGCAGTGCTACGCGTGAGACTTCATGTGTAAAAGACCATGGATCGAGTTTTAGTGCTGGAGCTGTGGTTTTTGCATTTAGCACGGCGTTCGACGACTGGAATACCTTTGTATACTACTTTCAAATACAATCATAAGCGGCCTTTTTGATGCCTAAATCAATTCGTGTTCCTGTCCGAATCATCTATCATAGCCTCAGACGTTTTGCTCTTCTCAATCGCTCCATGATCGCAGTGGTATGATTCGCTTTCCTTAAAATTTACAGTATTACAACTAACTCATTGCTTACCCATGCTATCACCCACCCACTCTGCATATGCATGTCACAGTGCCGTACCATTTTCACCAGTTTGACAGTGGATGAGGTGAGAGAGGCATTCGATGAGTTCCTCAAATCCCAGACCTTGTCATTCTGGGAGGATGACATCGATATGCTTCATATCTGATCTACTGGAGCAGCGACATTGTTGTGTGAGGACAGCGATCAGAACTCATGGAAAACAGTAGCAATAGAAGAGGAGAAAGATTNTCTTATACTATGTGCGACTAAACATGTCGGCACACTACTAAAAATCTGTAAACCTTCACTAATTGTCTATGTACATGAAGACTGAAAAAGTCGTGGATGGAGACTTCTGCCTATGGTTAATTTAGGATCCCGATTTGTTAAACCACGTTTCTGCGATGAAATCAAGTCGGAGATGGGTTGCCGGTGACTATGACGCCTCAGGATTTCGCAAACAGCAACTGCCAATTGGCTTGACTTTCCATTTATGGCAGGATTGGGATGGCCTGGAGAATACTTAAGGAAGGGGGAACGCGGGAGAGTTTGATCCTGTTGGATATTTATGGCATTTTCCCGTTCTTATCTTTGCGAAGAAGGCAGTCTTGTACAGATTAAAGGCCACCCAGGACTTCCCGCTATACACTACGATCTGTTGATCGAGCTCGAGTAAAGCTGAGACCCAGGACTATAACCGATAGCGCGTTTGCGCAAAGCTCGAGGCCGCCACTAATTGTAGTTCTGTAGTTCTATCAGTTGAGGACCCGGATTCACCACTCCTATCAGTATGACGGTGGTCTATACTATAAAAGAAAAGAACCTGGCAATGGGCTTAACTACACCCTTCTAGTTCTCTCTAGATTGGACCTGAACTGCTGATAGTATCACGCTCGATATATTTCATTTGAACATATTGATTAGTGGTTGGTCATAGCTCTTTCTATCTCAGTGCAAACCCTTCCCACTATAAAAACTTGACTACCCTTCTTTTAACTGCTCCTAACCATTTTCTTAGCATTCCAAAATGTTTTAGAAAAGATGAATTTTGGTCCTAGCCCCGCTTTCCTGTGCCAGCTCCGCTCACTTCAAGGGCTTAACCACAGTTGTTCCAATTCCTCTGACCCATTTTTCCCGTATCCAGAACGTTTTTGAAGAAGTTGTGAAATTCTGATCTAAGCTCCGCCAAGTTTAGTGTCAACCCCGCCCACTTCGAAAATTTGACCACATTTGTTCCATTACCTCTAACCACTTTATTCCACCATTCTAGAACGTTTTCGAANCGAAGTCACATTCATTTTTGAACAGTTAGCTTTCATCTGAACGCACGCCCCGCCCATCGTGGGCAGAGCTTCGCTAAACTTACGCATGCCCAGCACGCATAAGGCCTCGCTCACCCTCTTTATTTTTTCCTGGCCTCAACGCCTTCGCTGAACCGAGTTATGAAGCTATGTGGAAAGTACCGCCTGCTGCGCAAGCGCTTCGCCCACCGCCGGTAGGTTTCCCTTATTTTAATTGCTGACCCATCCCTCACCTTTGCACATTTTTTCCCGGCGTCTGGACTGATATGAGACCGAATGAAAGAACTCGTCCATGGCCCCGCCCGATTCCGGCGCATGCGGGCGTAGCTACCCTGATGAGTTCACATGTGCTCTGTTGCTCTTTGTCTTATGCCCAACGCATCAAGGATTTGACCCGGCTTCTGCTGGTGCTTCCTCAGGTAATATCGAACTTCCATACAAACAAACACGCAGACAGACAGACAGACAGACGCGAGCGCTTTATATATAGTAAGGATGGTACGCGCTGTATATGAAAGATGGTTTGGTTGGTCCCAAGGCTTCTAACTATTCATAGCAAACTCTGGTGAGCAAGGCAGTTGAGAACAAATCTTTTTTTGAGGTTCGATAAAAAGCTCGTGCCAAAAAAGCCAAAAAAGGTTCAAAAAATGTCTGAATGTCACCCTGGTGATGGTTCTCATTACCATTAAAATATTTATCGTAGTAGATTGACTGCTACGTTCTATCATCTCATATCAAGCCTTATGTAACGGCTATGCATTCGTTAAACGATATTTTGCCACCGCAAGTTTGTTATTGAAATGAAATCAGTGAAAGGATCTTAAGGATCATGGCTGGACGCTATAGTTCTGAGTGCTTGAAGTTCCAAGCGGGATGCGAGTGAAGGGAGCACAGAAACTTTCTAGATATTCTGCATTAAAAGAATGGTGAGGACTAAGAGGACAGGCGACTGCAGAGCTGACAAGTGAGATCTTCGATTGTTTCCATACAGCAGCGAAGCAAAACGAAAGGCAATGAACAAAGCGCTCCGAAATGCCAACACCATATGGCTGGAATACGAAAAGGTTTGTATTTCTTGTTTAAACATCAGTTTCCGCAAATTTCAAGTTATCATCTTCAGTGTTGAAAAAAGTTCGATCTAGACGGTCCAAGAGGATATCGTTACCACTGAAAAGACCATCGTCACAGCCCGCTAATCTATTCGAAGCGAGTCTTCGAAGGTGCCATATCTGTGGCCGAAGATGGTTTTGAAACAGCGGCAAACTGAAACTGGCCTATGCTTCCTGTCGAATGGATAGCTAGGAGTACCAAAAAGGGCTTTGGTTTCACCTCCTGCGCTTTCTAAGAGGTCACTACGCAGAAGACATATTTTTCAGGAAGGTAATGCAGTTGTGCATGCCTCACGTTCCACTAAAGAATGGCTCAACTGCAGGATGTTGATGTGAAGGAATGACCGGCTTGCTCTCCTGACTCAACTCCTTCAAAAATCAAGGGAAGGTCATGGTTAGGCGGATCTAGTTTTAATTCTCAACAATTGTCAGTACAACAACGTTGAGAAACTGAAGTTGGCGATCCTGACTGTTTGGGAATGAAGCATCGAAAACTTGGTTCAGAGCATTCCGAACAGAATGTTCGAACTGATCAAGAACTCTGGAGGAGCCATCTAGTATTGATCCTGAACATCTTCCTTTTTTTTATATGTAGTATCCACATACTTCTGTTACAAAGAAGTTCTCTTCCTCTGATGAAAAAAGTAAAAGCTTCTTGAAGTTCTCAGTTGAAGAGGTTTTCTAGATTTTCGCAACTGAGTAATTATTTGGTGGAAGGGTTATAGCTCGAAATTCAGTGGTGGACCCGGTACACTATAACCTTGTAGTGTCCACATACTTTTGTTACGCACTGAATAGGAAATTCGGAAATCAGGCTCAATTTTTTTGTGCTGTTCTGAAGCAGCTATCCCGATGTTCTGTTCAACTAGACCATCCAGTAAGATACTTGGGAAATGAGGTTACAGATAACTCACATCTACAAAATGCGCTGTACAACCCGCTATCTTCGCTCCAAAACTGATGGCATCACGAACGGCATGTTGACCTGAAAAGATTGTTTCTGAGATCGAATTGAAGCGCTGTGAAAGAAACTTCTAGGAATGTCCCCAATTTGGTAGCTGTTCCACTCAATGAATATGACNGAATTTACCACAGGAGTTTCAAAGCTACGGGCCCAAGAAACATGAGGACCTGATGTTCAAACTCTTTGCACCTTCAGTTTAAGCGTGGCCCCATCTCAAAAGCTGTTTTTAAATGCCTGAGAAAACAGCGAGGACCTCGTTTAAATAAAGACTCGTGGATAGCACGTTCGCAAAAGAGTTCGATACAAAATGAGCCCGGTCATTAATTTGCTTGTGATTCATTCATGCAGCAGCAACTAGAGGTCGTTGTCATAGATCAAATGATTTGCTAAAGTTCCACACTTCCCGAACCAAACACAATGAAAATTTGAAAAAAATGCCATGTTGCAATTTTTAGTTGAATGACAATGCAAAAAGTTTTTTTTATTTTCAGTACTAATCAGGAGAACTTACCTTTAAATGACGGGAGTATTGACGGGTGAATGTTGATGATTCTACCTCGCCACTCCTCAACAAATTTTGGCGAAAGTACCCTCATGTAGCCAGCCAGGCAAATTAGTTGAACTTCTCTTGCACGGAGCGCCTGGAACAAAGATATGCGTCAAGATGAATACTCCAAAGTTTTTCGTCTCCTTCTCAATTCTTCTTTTGATTATAGGCATCAATTCACTTAATGTCGTTTTCCAAAAAATCTTGGAACGTGGCACACAATTTCACTTGGAGTTAGCTTCAAATTTCAATTTGTGCAGGGTGGCGCAAACTCGAACATGGAAATCGTGCATGTAATTTTCTGGCTTATTCCATGAAAGCACCGCTGCGCCTGTGCAAGTTAGCTCCCGTAAGTCGCCAATAATGTTGAGCTAGAAATATTTGCATGTGCATTTATTTTGTATGAATGTAATGAATTAGAAATTTGTTCAAAGGCGGAACTGACTGAGAATATTTCGCAATGAGAACATTAATGCCTGTAGCTCGTTTATCAGTAGGTTTCGCTTTTGAATACTGAGCATGATACTCGTAATCGGAGAAACTACACTCACAAAGCACCCTAAGAAGGCATGCTCCTAGGCGTGTCTTAATTATATTTGCCATTGCAAGAGCGGATGGGGTGTAGTGGCACGGGACATGCGCATGTGCAGGGAATCCCGGATTGATACTCAAGCCATCAAGCCTGCAACTCTTCCAGGTCAGTTTGTTGTCACCAGACTCATAAATGTACTTAAAAAACAACTTTACAATTTTTAGTGGAAGTCGAATGCTGGTGCGCATCCCTGAAATGGATTGATGCGAAAAGTTCTGTCTTCTGTCCCATATCAGTATGAGAGTCCGCACACTTACACGTGTGCCACAACAATGAAAGCCCTAATATAGTCGTGTATTCTTTCAGCTGAGCTTCACCCTTTCAAGAATCTTGTTATGGAACTTAATGATTTACGAATTCATGCGGAAACTGCCGACCACTTTGAGAACGCTCCAGCCATAATTCTCATTCGCCCGCTTTGTTCACACATTTCCAACCTATACAAATTTGTTCTCAGTGTCTGAGCTTTTCTGAGACGAAATTATATTTTACCAAAGTTCCTGTGCATGTTCCGCTTCCTGTGAGCGATGTTCGCTGAGCCCGTATGTGCTTTGCTAATCTTGCACTTCGCCCCGCCCATCACAAGCATGTAAAGTTATGAATTCATGTAAAGAGCGGTTTTTAAACGTTGCAAGCGCCTCTGAAAAGGGGTTCAAATTTTGATCTCGACTCTGCCCACTAAGAAGGTTCGACTATCCCCCCTAAAAGACAGCCACGATACACTTTATTTTTATGGATCTTAGTTGTTTGTAACGGAGTTGCAACGATTATTCGGGCTCCCCTTCCCCCTCCCCCCTCCCTTTAGTGCAAGCCCACACCATCTTAGGACTTTTCCAAATCCCTTCATCCTTTCGGTAGCCTAAAACCATTCTGAAAAGGTTCCTCACAGCACTACAGATTTTTGATCTTATCTCCACACATTTTAAGGGTTTCATGCCACGTGCACAAATTTTTATCTAACCCAGCTCTCAGTCCACACTCCGCCTTCTTTGAAGCTTGATCACACTGTTTCTATAGCCTTTTGTCTATAGCACTTTTGTCTGCGTTACTCTTGTCCTGTTAGTTCTATTTGAATGTACGCCCCCTCGTCCATCGTACTTTGAGCTGCACAAAGTTCACGGATGTCCAGTTTATATTAGGCCTTGCCCCGGCACTTCTTTTACTTTCCTAGCCTCCGCGCTTTTGTTGAATTGAAACTGGATTTCGAACCATTCCATTTCTTAAGGCTTTGGTGACCTCTCCTCAGATTTTCCCGGCGACCGAGCTGCTATAAATCAAAATAGAAAGATTTGGTTATGCCATGCTTTTCCAGGTAACATCGAATGCGAGATAGAGAGAGACAAACAATCGTGAGCACATAATATACTATGAGTGGAGATGCTTATATAATAAAAAAAGAAAGGGCGGTGTGCTCACTTAGCGAAGAAGAAAAGACGAGATTTCGACAAGAATGTGATAATGATGGCATATGGTTCGTATTGGAGAGGCAGCTCATTTTTCATTTCTCATGGTTCAGCATGTACACCTTATTTTGCTTGGTTCATTCGTGCTGTTACTGCTACGTTTTCATCACAATGAGATGATGTTAAGTTGCTAATATTATAGAAACAGTTTCCGTTTTCCCAGAATCCAACCATAAACTATGGCATAGAAGGATAGCGGAGTGTAAGCTCGTATCTGCGAGTTCGATCCCTGTCGAGACACATTTGTGTCTCGCAGAAATCGCAGAATACTTGTCGGTTTCAGCGAAAGGCCACCACTGACAGGCCGATTGCCCGAGGAACCGAGACACAACAACTATGTTCAAAGTCGCAAATCAATAATAAAGATGCGAAGTAGCACGGAAGTGGCGCGTAGGGCACTCGCCCGAGTTCTGTAGAGAGCATGCGAGAGCTAACGAGGAGTGAACGACCTCAAAGAGGAATGTCAGTTCAAAATGGGACCCTAAAAGACTCATTCACTGGGAAGTCTCGAGAAACAGCCGGTCTAATGAAGTGGAGAAACATTCAAGTCAAATGCTTTTAGGACAGACGCTGGAAAGGTTGACGGGCAGAACTTGGAGAGGGTGTCAAGCTCTACTAAAACGAGGAAGACACCGAACAAAACTGTGCGGCTATACACTAGTGGAAACCCTTGAAAACTCTGTCTTTGCCATTGTCCGGATCAGCGATTTAATCATGGCTGTGAGGACGGACACGAAAGAGAGGTCTTGAACTATAATATACGTGTGTACAATACACAATTCGGCTGCTCCGAGTGCGAAAACTGTGTCTTATCTGAACCTGGACGACGCCATCTTGAAAGGACCATCTCATCATTGCGGACGATCTAAACGGTCTTATTGGCAGTGGGTTCAGAGAGTTTTCACGAAGGGACAGGAACAGGAGTAAGGATTGAAAACAGCGAGAAATTCCTGGACGTGGCAGTATGCAGCACCTTTTTTTACAAAAAGGGTGACCAGAAAGTGGTCTTCCAGCTCCTGAACGACCGATCCAACAGACTTGAAGCAACGCTGCCAAAGTAATATTACGGGGTGCAAGGGGAACGCCAAGAGAGAATCGACATGGATTCTGAGGAGACATTGAGGCGTACTTCTGGTACGGAGGTTCCAGAGGGTTAGCAGGTATCAGGCGAAAAAATCGTCTGCAAGCGGAGTAAAAGACTCAAGCTCCAGAAAACCAAACAGTCCACAGAAGTTGCAAGAAGCTCACCGAGGCTGATATAGCGAAAGCTACGGAAGTGGACGCCTTGTGCGAGTGCTCAATGGTCGAGACAGAGAAGAATTCCAGACTGGTCAACGCGTGGCAGCGGGCTGCTCGAGACATCGTAGGTTGATGCATATATTTTTTTCCTGCGTTTGATCCCTCTGTATTCCGCTTGCATGAATGTTGGTATTTCGTCATCACGTGTGCGTAATTGTGCATGATAGTCTCTCATCCCACCGTGCATTTGCAGGTCACAATGCCGCACGATTTTCACAAGTTCGACGCAGAAAATAATGTTAGAAAAGCACTCGACGACTTCTTTAAGTCCCAGTCCACGTCCATCTGGGAGGACAAAGTGCGTGAGCGTTGGAGTCGAGCAGTGGATGGTGATGGTGCACCTTCGGGCTGGTTCGTCCCTTAAGCTATTTACGAAGAAGTTAGAGAAAAATATATGCATCAACCTAGTTAAGGCTGTGAAGGAGAGTGATAGTGCAATCCCAAGGAAGTCTGGTGAGGTAAGGCGAGATGGAAAGATTACTTCGACAGGCACGGAGAATCAAACCGTGCGAGCAGCTTTTATGTAGATAGAGACGGCGACTGGCAACTGCGACTACCAGAGGAAGAGTGCCAGACTTCTGTAGAAGCAGTACTATCGTTCCAAACAGGAGGCAGAAGGAGGACGAGATGGAGTATCCAACCACCGCGGGACCAGTTTGACTACACATACCATGAAACTATACGAGTGAGTGATCGGCACAAGATTCAGAGAGCTTATCTCACAGTACAGTTTGGATTCATGCCAAAAAGGTCCACAGCGGCTGTCATCTTTATCGCTACACAAGTTATGGAGAAATAGTTTGGAAAGCTTGGACCCTTTTTCATGGCCTTTCCCTNGCGGGACCAGTTTGACTACACATACCATGAAACTATACGAGTGAGTGATCGGCACAAGATTCAGAGAGCTTATCTCACAGTACAGTTTGGATTCATGCCAAAAAGGTCCACAGCGGCTGTCATCTTTATCGCTACACAAGTTATGGAGAAATAGTTTGGAAAGCTTGGACCCTTTTTCATGGCCTTTCCCTTTAAGGAGGTCGTCGACCGCATCCTGCGAGAAGTCCCAAAAAAAGGCTTCGAGAAGAAGTGTAGTGGAACATCTGATTTTCGTGGTCAGAGAGGTGTACGTTAGGTCCACGACGGTCATACGCACTCTCCGCGTCTTAACAAAAGATATGTTTTTAGTTCTCCGGTAATCTTCCGATGTTTTTGAACAACCTGAGTTTATCGACTATTGTGCAAAAATGAAAAACCTTGTCTGATAAAGTTATATATCATTTGGAAGGGTGAGTTCTCATCTATATCTCTGTTGAAACTGTGTTAGCATTCATCAAAGTCTTTCTATATGGGACACGTGTCAAAATTAAGGACCATCTCGTGTATTTTCGGCACCTGATGTTTTTCTTCCACCGCAGTGGCATGAATATTGAGTTCTGATATTTTCTAGAAATGATCTACTTGATTTCCTCCATAAGAATATACTCAAGAAACCATCCGCATGATCGCAAAATTAGTCTTAACTACTTCGAG